AACCTTTTCCTCCCCCCCTCGAAAAAAAACACTACTCATAATAAATCTGTGGCTTCCCCGCATTTTGTAAAAAGAAAAAAAAAAAAAAAGACTGAGTATTTGAAAGGAAAATGGGGATAGTTGGTCTCCCTTTCAAATGGAAGGACAATGCAATGAAAAATTTTCGGTGGTTCTTTCTATGAAGGAAAGAAATGTTCGAGAATAAAACTGCGGTATTCAACTGACGTCCTGTCCAAATGATGTTTAAAATTAATCTTGCTATTGCAGCTTTGCTGTCGTAGCTATCACTTTTTTTTTTTTTTTTGAGGAAAAATTAATTTTAAAAATACTTAAAAAACACATTCATTTCGTTCTTACTGCTTTTTGCATAAATACAAAACTGGCTGTTGCATTCACTAATGATTCAGAGGTTCGTTAGATTGCAGAGCACATAATTATCGCAAAACTTTGCAGCAGAATAAATTAGAATGTCATTAGAAAGCATATTTAGCAATATACACTTTGTTAAGCAAATATAGGTCACTAAAATGTTTTTAATTAAATAATAATAAACACCTATTGCATATTAACATAACGTTTCTTTTAATACCTGGCTCTATGAAAAATTTAAGAGGATACTGGTTTCATTTCCTCATTCTGAATAAAAAACAATATTTGAATACAAACAAGACAAACATAAGTGTACTTCAGATAAGTTTTAACGCTTATACTTTAAGATAAAAGTACCTTCACATAGATAATGAATTAAAGCAGTATTATCAGCACCAATGGAGGCTATTGTTTGTATTGTAATTGTTCCTAATAAAAGCACAAAGCCTTTAAAAATTGCAAAGCTAAATGTTTACTGCTTTTAAAGTTTGAGCATAATTAATATTCTAATTAGCTCATTCGAAAGCTAATTAAGCTGTTGGAGAACTGCAGAGTTTTCCTATGTGACATCGGTACTTTCTGATAATATCAGGTATAGCAAATTTCACTTTCAGTTTGGAAGGAACTTTTGTATTCCTCCGTAAATTTCTACCTGCACGTGCCAATCATTTACACTATGGGATGTAAATTGGTCTGCACGTCCGGCTAGCAGCGGAAGATTCGTGGCAATCCTGGCAAGGATTCGTTTGATTTTTCATGTTTCATAATCCAAAATGTCTATAATGATCTCTACAGTGGTACCCGAACAAAAGTGTAGTGGACGACGACTCGTAACAAACCAGATTTGGGTCGACGAGGTCTCGTGTCTCTCCTCGTCTACCTTTTAAAATTGAACAGTGTCCGGAATTACCTCATTCTTTCGTTAGTACGCATATATTAGGTTAGTATGTATAGCTATCAAGTAAAAGATCCATACTTCGAATCTTGGAGAAATATAGTTGAATTTCTGTGTTTCCTCATTCAAAATGCTTAATGGTCTCCTCAATTTTTTTTTAATCTGATATTAACCGTTTAACCCGTATAACATTATATTACCCGTATGTGTGTTATTATTATTACCCGTATGCCTGCTCTCAACCACCAAAGCTTTTTTACCGTTCCAGTCGTATGTCTGCTGTCAGCCACCACAGCAATGAGCCACACTGGTCTTATATCACCCGTATGTGTGTTATTATTATTAACCGTATGTCTGCTCTCAGCCACCAAAGCTTTTTTACCGTTCCAGTCGTATGTCTGCTGTCAGCCACCACAGCAATGAGCCACACTGATCTTGTATTATATTACCCGTATGTGTGTTATTATTATTATTACCGTATGTCTGGCTTTCAGCCACCAAAGCTTTTTCACCGTTCCAGTCGTATATCTGCTGTCAGCCACCACAGCAATGAGCCGCACTGGTCTTATATTATATTACCCGTATGTGTGTTATTATTATTCCCCGTATGTCTGCTCTCAGCCACCAAAGCTTTTTTACCGTTCCAATCGTATGTTTGCTGTCAGACACCCCAGCAATGAGCCACACTGGTCTTATATTATATTACGTCAACAAGCTCCATAATCTTGCATATTATGTATTACTGTTCGTTCAACGAAAATTAATTCTAACCAGCATGATACCTATGTATAAACTTAATACGACCGCAAAGGATTAATAAACAACTGACGGGTAATCAATGTAAGATCAATTTACTTGTAGTCTCATCTGCAGAGACATATATGAATTTAGATAAAGGATTAAATCTTTGAAGTAAAATTGTTAAGACAAAATTCTTGAGGAACATAGGTGTTGTACCAAAGTTTTTCTCGTTAATTTTACTTTTTATACAAATTTGAATAAAATATTAACTTCATTTTTATAATCTTCTCATTTACAATAGCTGGCAAAGTGATATATAATAGCTTGCAAAGTATTAATTAACTTTTTTTAAGACTTCCAAATATTGACTGAAATGCCCTCTCCACAATTTCGGGGAAGATTCGGAACAACACACTGCACAGATTTGGGGAGAAAGTGAAAGACATACTTGAAGAACAGCAACATAAATTATCATTATACATTTTAAGAATTAAACGCCAGTTTCAAGTCCTTTCAACGAATTATGTATATAGTGAAAAGCTAAACACTAGCTAATCAAGATGTGATAATTTACGCGAAGACATTCAGATGCATCATTAATCACGATTGAACTATACTTGCTGTATTCTTTACAGAGTGATTAGCAAGTCTATCTTGAGTAGCGAGAAAGATAAAACTTGGTATTCTAGAGTAAAATTCGTTCACACAGCTTTTAATTCTCATTCATTTTCAATATGAATCTTTTCAAGTTTTAAAGTATTTTCAAAATAATATTTCAATGTAGTTAAAATTCTGCTTTAAATTAAAATTTTGATGTTGATAATTTATCTTCATTACATTGAAGCTCCCCAGCATCTCATTAAAAATTACGACTTTGAAAGGTACAAAAAATCACTAAAATTAATACGACCATTACTATTAAACTAATTAACAGAAACCTGTAGCTACGAAGAGCAACTTAATTCAAGTTTATCAAGAAGCAACTTCATACAAGTTTGATATTCATCCTAAATGAAATGTGAAAACGGGCTAGGTAAACGATAATTTCATAAAGATATCTTAAATCGATATCATGAATGATGCGTAAAAGAATGAGAAGAATAACTTCGTAGCAATAAAACTTCTTGAACTTTTTAAAATATACGTAAAGAAAATGCTGTTTTAAATGTATTTAGACAAAAAGCTTCTTCTGTATCTCACAAATATGTTAAAGCATAATGAAGCAAAATGTATCATGTTGCTATGCTTCAAAGTATAAAATCTAAAGTTTTCTAGCATGAATAAAAAACTATCGAATAGAACAATAGCGAACTTTGATATTTTATTGACAGGTAAAATATAAATATACAGAAAATTTTATTCAGCGAAGAGATTCAGTTTTGTTTAATTTTTGCTCATCATTTAATTTCGAGTACATTTAAATCACTTCAAGTAGGTTGGGTTATTCGATTATGGCAAAGCATGCTGTGGTTATCAGATTAAGGATAAGGATGCCTTCGTGGATGACTTTCTAAGAGAAGCTGGCCCATATTCATGATACACATGGGAAAAACCAACCATGCAGCCAGCTCGTGAACCCAGGTGGAAATCCTATTCAGTGGTCTTAACGGCCTGGCCGCTGGTGGGGCTAAATTGCTTTAAGAGTATTAACATACCTGTTTTATCTTATTACTTTTGAGAACCTTTCTCAGCTAATTCATTAAGGTTAAGAATTTTGGAAGATATTAGAGATCAAAATTTTTAAACAAGTGCATCATTTGGTCTGGTGTGAGATTTTTGATTATCTTTATTGGAAAGATCATACTAAATCTATACACTGCACATAATGTGCACTTTAACATAGGCGATCAATTATTTGGTTAACTTCAATTTTTTCCTCTTTAATCTACCACGGCCAAATACGCGAATATCATCCGGTTAACCGTAGGTTAAGTGCGTGGATGACAGGTGTCAACCGCTCGCCTATCAAAAATAGACGGGCGGTTAAACACTCGCTTAAGGGTTAAGGAGGAGGTTCCTTAGTGGAGGATAGTGTGAGAAAAACTAATCGTCTTCACATTACACATGGGAAAAACTATGAAAACTCTCGTTTATCAGGATGGTAAAGAGTAAGACACAGAAAATAAAAAGGTTTTATCACAACAATTATACAGTCAGAAAAGTTTCTCTTTATATTTCTCAAATTATTTCGAATGATGCATCAATACTACGCCCTTTTCTATTAAGAAGTAAAAATGGTAAACAATTAAGAACCAGTCTGTAAGCCGAAAAGTAACTGGGTGGAAAAGACCACCGAACACTGGTAGCTCGAATAGCATTGAAATCCCGTCGACAGGGCTTGTTAAGTGTTTTTGAAGCTTTCCTCAGCTGTAAAATGGACAAGACTCAGTTTCTATTAAAAAGACCTCTACAGAGGCTTTCGCCCCCAAAAGCAGATAAACCTCGCTTTGGTTTGGCGTATCTTGAGTAAGCAAACAAACGTAAGAGATTGACAGGCACTTATCGTAAATGAAAACCTCGAAAACTACTGCACTCAACCCTTCTCACATTTTTGTAAGTTAACAGTTCAGCACATTTAAGTAAAGATTGTAATTAATGCATATAGTTTACCTAGACATATGGAAAATGTACATTAATTTCCATCAATAAACAACAGTGCAAAATTCCACTTTTAATACGAGAGGATGCAAATTATAACGATAATTCAGGAAACCCTTTATAAGTAAAAAATATTGCGATATTTCATTAAAAATTAAGCCTTTCATACAACAATTTTATTTACAAGAAAAAAAATTTTTCATTTATTAACATATGAGAAAAGAGTTTTGGAAATTCAGGATTTTTCTGGCAGATAACCCGAGATTAACTATATTAGATGAAACATGTGACATTTTAATTACTACTACATTATCCACGTAAAAACTACCGTTTGTTATATTCCTGATAGAAAATCAACACCCATAATAATGAAGTAAAAAAAACTAGTAACACTTACAATAATGAACGCTTTCACCAACCAGGAGATTCAGTTTGAAAAATCCTTAATCATGTGATCGGTCAATTAACATCCAGCAGTACCATAAAATTTAATTGACGAAGCACTGTTAAACGATTCCACCAAAGATATTTATTTCTCTGAGTATTTCCTTGATGACTGCTGAATTCACAAAAGCCGCTTCACGAGCTCGTGCTCTGGCCAGTTAGATCATGGCTTGCACAAGCAGTCACCAACCTAAGAAATTGGAGACTCGACAATACAGCAAATTGTTTATGATGACTTAACTCTTTTCGAACTATCTGTGAAATAGCTTTAGATAGTCCAACTGCTGCACCAAGTTCTTACTCTCAGCGATAAAAATCCATTACATTTCCAAGCGAACGACTGCGTTAAGCTGCTGTTGGGATCTCTTTTACCTAAAGCTACGCTGAGAGGGGAACGGAAAGCAGTGAACCGAAACCTGAATTTCCTTTACTGTGGAAAGTGCACCAGAAGAATATTTTGTGATTAAGTAGCAAGCCACTCAGCAATGAATAAATAAAATAATCGAAAATTCGTCGGCTGGAGAAAACTTCATGCCACCTAACTACAGCAGCATTCCTCACGTCGGGTAACTCTGGTTCGCCTTGAGGGTTCGCAACGGGTCTCAGTCGCGACTTCATCTGGTTAGAAATAGCTTCTGGGTCTGAAATTACAGGAAGGGGCAGGAAGTGAAATAAATGAAGGATAAACAAACTACTACTATTTTTCTTGACGAGACGTTCACAGAATACAAAAAACGAAAGGCTTTGTTACATTTTACAAAAATTGATAACTAGTGATAGTAGGGTGGGTCAAGGTCCTTGACACATATGAAAAAATATCTAATGAACAAAAACGTATTTCACAAGATTATACAATGTAGTATTATTACAAAAAAAGTCTGTTTTGTATCTTTAATTTAGTTCGCGAAATCACCAAAATAGTTCTTTTAACGAAACACAATTAATTTCATCGAAGGAATTTATCCAGAAACTTTGCCTGATGTTTGTTTCCCTATCAGTTGTGATAATCACTCAGTGGGGAATTTGGTATCACTGAGTCTCGCTCGAGACACAACAAATATTCAACATTATGTACTTCTTGTATTCTGCTGCACAGGGTTTTCAGTTCAAATACCAAACTAATGAGACACATACCTAATACGAATAATTATTAGTAAATGTTATAAATGAAACTCATAACCATAACCTCATTGCTGGCTTGAGTTTCCTATGCATTTTATATAACATTTATATCAGTATTTATAGAGATTGTATGCATCAGTAATTATAGTGATGTATGGATATAGTAGATGCATATAAGTGTATCATGTCTATGAGGTGAACCCTTAAATATAGTGAATCTTTGTGCATTTACATGAAATCATTCTCATCCGCTTTAAAATATGAACAATACCCCTCCAATCCTGATTTAAAAATATCTGAATTAATGGCATCCTGGATAGTTTTATTGGTTCGATATGATAGATACGAATTCGATGTCGAATTTTTCCCATTTTGACAATATATTTCTTCAATTTATCTATGTATTTTAATTAATATATTCTAAAATCATATGCAACTCGGAAATTGTGTTCTGATAAGAATTATTTCCCTCCCTGCTTTCTTAATCCTTTCCGTATTTTTATCTGTTTCTGGAAAGAAAAAATAGAAAAATTTTACATTTTATCCTGCTTATCCAAATTTTAGCTACCAGAAAAACGTAAAAATGGAGTTTCTACCTGCAGATTATGCAAGCGACAACTAATCTGTGCGTTACTACGACGAATCTGTGCGTTACTACGACCACCATCTACGACCACTAATCTGTGCGTTACTGATATTTCAAAGTTCGGTTATTACAAATTCTCTGTACAAGAAATTTTAAACCTGGAATTATTTCTAATCGTTGAGTATTTGGAAGCTGTGGAGTTTGTTCTCAGAAGCTTGGATTATGATAGCAGATCATTGATTAAATATTGTAGAAAAACGGATAACCAAAAACAATACTGCCCCCCCCAAAAAAAAAAGATAAGTTTGATTCTGCCGATTTAGCCGACACTGCCGAATGTCTTGAATCGCAGTTTGAAAGCTCACAAGTCGATATTCGTTAATCTAGAACTGTGAGAAGTTTTTAATGACTAGAAAAGATGAGGAATCATCCGATTTCAAGAAAGGAAATGGAAACTGTGAAACTGGTATCAAAATCTACTTGCTCTAAAATGTGTGTATGTATACGGAGAAAGGTATGTTATTTGATGAGACAAAAATACACTTAACGTATTCTCTGTTGCTGATAAGGGAATGTTTTAAAACACAAGAAGCACAGCTCTATTAAAGAGTTTTTTAAATAACACTTTTATGTTTTAAACATACACACGACAAAATATCTCGATAACTTCTAAACATAAGCAAAATTTTAACATTTTGTAGACTATCATGCTTAAATTAAAACGCTGATTCCAGACCACGGTGCGAGAGTTTGTTACTGCTGTGGTCTATCATTTCCTAACTACTGAGAATAATATAATTTTGACTAATTGGATGGTATATTTGATTACACTATAGGACTAACTGTTCAAGGAAGGGAATACACTCTTGTAAACCAAATAACAATTATTGTGCTAAAATACAATCAAAGAGCAATTATCTAACTCACCATGCTTACTGATTTATTAGTTATAACGTGCATGGAGTTCTTCAAAAACTGCAGAAGAATATAAATCTTTCTCATTGCAATATTAATGCACATAAACGGATATAGCATAAAGCACAAATATATAGCGACTTCATAATATCTTTGTATAATGCAGTATTTTTACTCTCCTTTTATTTTATCAATTAAGTAAACAAAGTTCTTTTTTAATCTAAAATATACTCGCTTTCATCCTCTGCTAGTTCATCAACAGTTAATGAGATTTTGTTCCATCTCGGTTTGCAAGACGTTCTCGTCTAGGTTTACTCTTCCAAGCTGCAGCCTCTGGGTGAGAAATTCTGAAACTACCATAGACACTGGCATATGCTTATTAGCCGATCCCCATATACTGCATTAATGTACCTTTTAATAATTATTTAATTGAATTTCTGAAACAAAATATGCCGAATATGCTCCTTTGTAATTTCCATTTAGCTTTGAAAAAAATAACTTAAAATTCAACTGCACTCTTTAAAACTTTAACTAAAAATAAGAACATGATAAAATTACTATCGGCCTTGATACTGATGCAGGTAGTTTATGCCGTTTCCCTTCAACTTTTAGTTCAACTGAAAAAAGCGCATTATTTGTAGGACAACTAAATATTCCAATAGTAATTGGAAAATACGATATCTACAACAATTACGACAGTCTGAAGGTAACCATTGAGTGGTATAATAAATGCCACGAAGATAGCATATATTAAATATGTTCATAATGCTCAATATATGCTTTAACAATAATTTGTCTTACGTGACTGAAACGACATTAAACAATAATAATAAGAGTTCAAAATGAGCACTTACAGTTCAGAAGATATTTCTAGAAATAGTTCTTTGGCGGGATATGTGATCACCATACTTTTTACATTGCATGACTATATATAGACTATGTCGAATATGAATATTAAAGATGGCCCTTCCTTTCGCAAAATGTATGAAATCTGGGACACATTTATTCTGTACTATAAAATAATACATATAGAATAGTTTAGAAATAGGAAAGGTATATTAATAGCTTTTTCAAAATTCAGCATGATTAAGATTTTCATGCAAGCTTTAATTCATGCATTTCTCTTTGTATAATGCAAGTTAAGTTTGTCAGCATTTTATCATCATTAGCTTTACAAGATTAATTGTTTTAGATAAGTTATGACATATAAATAAATTCCAGTTATTATATAGCTATTCTTCGATGATAGTGATTTTTATAAATAACTGAAATTTCAAGCTAATACAAAGATTAAGCAAAAGATTTTGCTTGTGTTTTTATTTAGAAAATTTTGTTATCTTTCTTCTTTCCGCATATCTTCGGTGTGTAATTGGCATCGACGCATATTCGAGAGGTCCAGGGTTTGAATCCCAGCAAGGGCACTGCACATTTTTCAAGTTCATTGCATCGATATAATCTAATGACTTTACATCTTTTTCACGAAATAACCGCAGAAGAAAGAAACGTGAAATTTTTATCACTGCGTGGTTCTAGCACTGTGTTCTAGCATTTCCACCACCCCATGAGTTGATGATGCCAAGGAATATTGATTATGTATTATTATTAAATATTGATTCCTTTTGCGGTATGAAACTAAATCGCTCATCAACAGAGGTTTAGAAGTTGGTATGAATACAATCTTCTAAATGTTAAAAGCAGCAGGAATTGGTATGAAAAGTTTTAAAGAAAACTTGCTAGTATTGAACTTCCGAGAAGTGGCAGGCCTGCTGTGAGTGATGAGAGTGTTGACTCGGTCGTTAATCGGATAGAAGACTTAACAAGAGCGAAGACTTCATCACACTAGATCGTGATATTGACGCTTTGAAGCCAGAATAGCACATGCTGTATCGAAGAGCAAATGTTGAAAAACAAGTAATGTGAATTAGTTGTTTTTCATCATTTGCTCAAATGGTTTATTAATGCTTACTTTTTCAAACATCTATTTTTTAAAAAGTACTATTTCTATTTTTTTTTTAAAAAAAAGGGGGGGACTTACTACATATGCCTTTTAAAAAAATGTCTACTTACAGCAATTTTTGAGCGGTAATGTTTGGTAAAAGAGGAGACTTTACTCACCTTGTATGTTTTAGGCAGATTAACTAATAGTCATATATGTAGTAACGAAATAGAAATTCTATTTATAGTCATTATATAATCTACCTTAACTATCAAAAAACGGATAAAATAACAATAAAACGCTACTCAGAGATAAATTATATTCTTTGTAAAATTCTTATGCTTTCTTTAATATGGTAAGATCCAAATCGATACTTGTAAAAATTTGCGGGCCGAGCGTGCTGACCATTTCACCGCGAAGGCATGGTAAGAAGGCGGGAGAAATACTTTATATACTCCCCCTTTTATAGGTCGATTAGGGATTAGGAGACAAAATCGCCAAATCCTGGTGGAGAATCATCATCCACCCCCTTTTTTAATTCGGACGCCACTGTAGAGACATTAGGTATTTTTTGATGCAAGAGAGATAAAAAATGAGCAACGCCCTTGCCAGGACTCGAACCGCGAACCTCTCGAATACGCGCCGAGTTTCTGACCATTACACCACGAAGGAAATGCCGAAAGAAGGCGGAAGAAATAACTTATAGATTAGGTTAATTGATTAAGGCGAAGTAACTCGAGAGCTACCTGCTTATGAGAACGTATGCTTCGTGGAAGACCTTTTTGAGAGAAACTGGCTTGTATGCACAGTAAAGATGGGGAAAACCTCGAAAACTCCCATACAGACAGCCCGTTCACCGAGATACGAACCTGGGACCAACTAAACGTATTCAGCGACGTTACCACTTGGCCCATGTAGGATCAATCGATATACAATGCTTCCTAATAAAACACAGTTAATGAA